TAGAAAGTAACAAGAACTAGAGGATTTTCAAAGGATGGATGTTTGTTACTTTCTGAAAATCTGAAAAATTAAAGTGCATAAAATTCAGAACCAAAACTGTTTAAATATAGTGATAGTTTCGCATGAATTTCATGGAATATATGTTCTTTTCTTAGGTTTAAAAAACTTGGGGAAATCTAGGATTATCATTCTAGATACACTAACTTCTTGGTTATGTGGGCTATCTTAACCAGGGTGGGTTTTATGTATCTTACAGAGTTACACTGAATCAATACTAAATATTACAGTATTCCACCTTAATCTATGATTTTTTGTTTTAACCAGGGAAAAGAATTTTGAGGTAGAATAACTTGAAGGCATAGAAACCCTAGCTGTATTCTGAACTGTCTGACAAAACGTTGATGGTCCTGGAAAACAGAATTACAACAAGCAAGATCAAACTTATTCCACTAAAAGATAGTAAGGAAACAAAGAAATAACTAGAAGGCATCCACTCCATTTTGCAAAAGTATTTTCAAATTGTGAACTATGTCCTTGTTGAATGGAATATTTTAAATATTTATGTAAAATTATTTGTTTCAAAGAAGTATTTTTTACATTCAGAAATTCAGCTCTCACAATTCTCCTTTCCATTCTGAAGTTACATACGTTTCCTGGATCACTAGAACTTCCTAAAAATGTCTGGCTTTAACACAGTAGTATATTTGAGTAATATTTTTAGGTGAAAATCTTAGCATCTTGAATGAGCTAAAATAACAAAAGCCAATGCTATGTATGTGTGTGTGACTATAATTTTTTTAATCACATCAGATATACACCTTTTAATGGAAAGTTATTCTCACTCATCAATAAGCAGACACACAAACCAGGGAGTTTCCTTCTATCAATAGCCTTTAACTAATGGCAAATCTTCTGTTTCCTCAAGGCAATCAGGTAGCTCTGACACCTGCAGCTACTGAAAACTTTTGTTTAAGAAGGAATCAAACCAGAGGGAGCCTGCGGAAATACAAATACAGTAAATGGATTGAAAATACTTCAGCTGGTGCTTAGAGATTGTACAGTCATGAGGTACCACTCTTTGCTAATAAAAACCCTCTAGAACTTGCCAAGAGTTAGCTTACTGTGGTATTGGAGCAATTAACAAATCCATTTAGCAGAGGAGAAATCGTTATTATGGATTAAAGCAGTGTTTATACTCCAAACTGTATGGAGGGAAAACAGCTCTCTAAGATGACATTCCTTTTAAGATCTGCTGGTACACTTCACAGGACACATCTATCACTTTTTTAGAAACACAGATGTTTCTGTGGAAGTGGGCTCTACCCACATATGATTTTATAACTGTATATGTCTTTTTAAAAAGAAATCACAAACTCTGCCTGACGGGCATAAAAGCCAAATTCTCAAAGGTAGCAGTGTCCCTAGAAGTCCAAATAGTCTAAAAGCTCTTTATAATTCATGTAGTTTGAGTAATTCCTCTGCATTTGACAGTTCCAGAGTCCAAATTGGATTCTAATATGCTTACTTACAATGACTTACTTGTTCAAGTCTCCTACCACTTTTACAAACATTCTCTCAAGTATTTTCTCCCTAGTACAGTTTTGTGAACTTGAATGCACATCTTTGTTAGTCATGGGCCTAAATAATGCCAATACATATTGGTGTATAAACTGTGCCTCTACATCATTGCAAGATAATACTATGAAAAATGAGAACATGGGCATAAGAAAACTTCAATCTAAATTTATTAAGCTGTTCCTACATGACAGTGCAATCACCATGTCTACCAGCTGTATAAAAACCTCTAAAGTCAGTCACAACTACATGGTTTGTGAGAATCTTGCAGTTCATGAAGGTGCTCTTCAAGCACCTTCTCCAGCCCTTCATCATTCAATGTTACTGATCCCTTTCTCTCAAACATGAAGGCAAGAAAGAAGAAACATAATCAGAAACAATTGCGAAACATAATTATGCTATTTTCATTCTTCTACTAACTGGCAAGAAATTTATGAATGTGATTATACAAACATAAGAGGAAAACAGTGGACTTGATCTAGAAGGTCTGTTTCAGGTCTAGATCCTGTATTCTGTGAAGGACAGTACTGTAGTGTTGGCTTTTGCCATGTACACAGATTCAAGACACACCTGAGAATTAATCCATTAATTGCCTGTGATACACTGCTACAGTGTCCAGATGTCATTTGATCCTAACTCTTTTACTAGCTTTAGCTACTTTTTAGTATGTTTAGCTTAGGTACAGTACTGAGTATATGGTAATAATTAGAGAATAAGAATTGTGGTAGTAACGTACTGTAGAAGTAATTCATTCATACAGCTTAGGACAGTAGAGCTTTAATAAACTAAACAGAAGTTACAGGATCCCAAAATATCAAACTAGTGAGACAGATGAGTCAGAGTTTTTCCCAGGGCAGAAGACATGAAGAAACAATTTCAGTGCCAGGCAGCCAATAAATATAATTTATCCCATATTTAGATTAAGGTGCATGATTAGTATTATATAAATTAAAACTTTTTGTATGATTGAGATAATAATTTTAAGAGTTCTGGTATTGTGATTGCACTCCTTTTCTCTTGAATCAATATACATGTATGTTCTTACATGTATAAACTCAAACTCTTTATTTTTTATTGAATATAATCATTTGCATTTATTTCATATTACAGAATAAATTCACCACAGGACATGTACTTGCCATACTGAACAATTAAGTCATTACACATTTTGTTGTTACTGGGAATGACTATGCTCTCTGAACACATTCCCTGAACCCTCATGGTTCCACGGATAGTGTGTAGGGGCCAGCAATGGATACAAACCTTCCAACACTTAAGGTAATTAATTTAGAACTGTTTCAGGGCATCTTTGCATGGCATAGTCTTGCACCATGTAAACACAGCCTCATTGTCAACATATTAAGACAGAATACCAGAAGTTTACAGCTAAAAATTACTTTGGCAGTCATCACAACTAAAAAATTACTTGGAAATTAAAAGTTAAGTGCTTTTTTCAATATCTGCAGGTTATAAAACCAGCCCAGTGACAAAGAATTACTAGGCACACTGCCATCAGACATCAGTAAGGATAGTATGGACTTCTACATGTAGAAATCTCTGCAGACATTATCCTTATAGAAACAGTTATTACTCAAAGGCCTTTAAGATGGTCAATTTGTTAGAAAGCAGTATTAAAAGTTTTAAAGATGCATAATATGTTTTTATGAAAAATACCAATGTTAGTAACTTGATTTCAAGTACTGAGTCCAGAAGTTTTACTGATGTGTCTAACAGTGACACTTTTATAATAACTTCTCTGTTAAATATCTTCCCATGAAGCCTCAGGCATTCCAAGCTTATACATTACAGAGGACAAAAAAATTATAGTTATCATGTTCTGGAAAGCATATGTGAACACAGCAATGGAGATTTTTTTTTTTTTTTTTTAAATATGTTAGGATAGATACAAACCATTGTGGACGTGCACATACAGCATTTTGAAACATTAGGATGTAAATTTCTGAGATTAGAGTAATTTGACATAATGTTGTTTACATACCCATAAAATAGCTGCAGCAGACAAGAATTTCTTTTCTGACTGTTGATCAGACTTGGAAGCTGTACTGCAGGAACACTCCAGCGCACAGAATGGCCGGAGAACAAAGTTGGTTATGTTGAAATAAATGATACATCCAAATTGTGCTGATAGAAAAGTAAGACTGAGCATTTATGTATTGGTTGGAAATCTTCTCCATCAGGCCTGTCACATTTGTGGTGGTGGTATTCTTTATTCTCCAGGGTAGTATTCAGATGTCAAGTCAGACTGAAGCTGGATTTGAATGAGCTAGTTCATCCATATGATGCAGTCTGCTGTGACAGTTTTGCCATGGGGTGCATGTGCACTATTTTGTCTTCTTTCCCTACACTTACTATTGTGTAACATATATTAATTTATATTACTCATAATACTAGAAAAACTAAAGAATTCAAATCTCTTGTTTCTCAGGCAGTAGTCTAACCATTCAAGTTAATCTCTAGCTTCTAACTGAAACTGTTTAAATACGGGGTCAAGCTTGTATTATTTATTGGGAAAAAAACATTCTCCCAAAATGCTGCTCCTGAACTTGTTAGGGTCACTGGGTTGTCATAAGTGCCATCAGCAAGATTAATAGTATGAGTGAGCGAAGTGGTTCAAATACCTGAATGCTTTAGGCAGTGTAGAGTATTTGAAACATCTGCACAGGGCTTGCAGCTACTGGACCTACGGGAGACCTGCACTCTTCTGGAGCAATAGCTGGAATGCAGGTGGGATATCCTACTGATCTTTCCTCAGGCTTCTGGGTTTCACCTGATAAACACTGATAAAATATTTCCGGTAACAAGAAGAAAAAGAAAATATGCATTTATCTACAACATTTTGCATTTACTTCACACCTTTACTGGAGAAATTTATTTACAGTCTCAAAAGCAAGTTAATTGTACTCGTTTCTATATAGCATTAGTATAACACAGGCAATTTTAAATTTGTCCCAGATAATTCTCTTATTTTTTGATGGATATTCCATAAGTATGCAGAACTGTACAGACATGTGAGATGGAAAATTCTGTAGTAGGATCTGCTTTCTTTGGTGGTGGTGGGGGTTGACTAGATGACCTCCAGGGATCTCTTCCAGCATAAATTAGTTGAGTCTATAAAATGACAATGCAGTTTTTAAAAATACCTTTTGTGAAAAAAGCCATACAGCACAGTACCTTTGATGATAAGTATTTAATTATAGAAGACAGTAAAGGAAAAAACTGTGCAAGCACCACACTATAATAGTGTATATTGTATCCCTTTCTTAAAAAAAATGGTGCATGCAGTCTTACCATTTTTTTTCATTGTCAAATATTTTTCTTTTTACACCAGACAAATATGCTGTAAAAATGCAGGCCTTGTCAGTGATATGCATTGAAACACACTCAACATTAAATCTGGGGTCAATATGACTACAAAGGTAAGACTAATATGCAAGTAGTTTAAATTATCTGTATGAAAATGAAAATAGACTTTACTTAAAATATTTGGAACATTGCATGAAACAAAAATCTTACTAGTATAATACAAAGAGAAATGAAGACCTTCAAAACTGTAATTTTTAGAAATTATACAGGACTTGAAAAGCAGAAATAGAATATAAACCCTGAAAAATAAAGAGCATAGTTCTAATATCATAGGCAAAGAACAACTGAATTGTGAAGATTATAAACTCTGGTGATTAAAAATAAGACATATTAGACATCAGTTTTAGTATGCTGCATCTTTCACAGCTATTGAACAATATGTTAAGTTACAAAGAGCTGTTGTGCCATCATTTTTTCAGAAAACCCTTATCAAAATCATTGGGAAGTAAAAAAAAAAAAAAGGCAGAATGATTTAGTCCATCACCTAATTATTGTCCAAGTGTCACTTGCTAGACTGTGATAAAACTCTTCCCACCATATTTTCCCCAGAGAGGATGTAGAATGTGGGACACTGAACTAGAGAGCATCCAAGCCCCTCTACCCCTCTACAGGGGCTCAGCAATGCGGATAAAGACAGATTACGTTTTAAATCAGGTTTAATCTGAACTTTATTATCCAAAACAAACCTATGTTTGTATAAATCTGGTCTCTATCGTGGCACAATGACAATCCCCTCTGCCCATGGTGTGTGGCTGAAGCATGGACATACTCAAATGCAGTAGGAGGCCTCTGAAGTATCTTAGGGAATAAAAGGTGTTGATCTGTGGGTCCGATGAACTCCCCATGGCATCTACAGTCCTGGTGATTCAAAAAAAAGGAATCATATCCTGTTCTGTTTTACCACCGTTGTCAGTAAAAACAGATGTCTGCTTTCCCCTATTTTTATTTTTAAGTTCTGTTATCACATACTATATGATGCCACTGTCCTGTGGCAACTGTGAATCCATCTATAAGCAAATTAAGTATTTTTAGTACAGAAGTATAATGAGAACTTTTCTGAAAAACATGTATAGCAAGTAAGTCATTATTCTGAATATCCCAAAGGACAAGTGATCACTTATTCACTTATGCACATCAATCCAGGAATAGGATTAAATAGGTGATAGATTACATATTTTCGAAAAGGAGAATACCTAGTCAGTGTAAAGTATGGTGATAGTCCAGTCTGAATACAAAAAATATGTCGCAAGTTCTTTTAAACTTTGTGGGGATTTTAAGTGTCAGCTTGGAGATGCAGAATGAAAAAGAGATAAACTTTCCTGAATTTGAAACAGCTTCTAAGCATCCAGATTAAATATGTAGATATCAGTTACTAATTGAGACAAGCACCTCAAAAAAACATATCAAAACCAACCTTAATCCATGTATGTCACACCTCTGTGTTGAAATGCAACAAAGTATCTTCTGGAGGTTCCCTCTCTCTCCATACTTTAGATTACTGAATTTGTTAGTCATATCATGTTAACTGGACAAGTTGATACGACAATTTTATTGTTAATGTTGACTTTTTCTTTAACAATCATTTCACCTTTCACAGTTCTAAAGTGGGAGCTTTACCTTGATTGAAAACAAACTCAAATGTAAAATGAAAAAAATACAGATCCGTGTACCAGTTTCTTGTTCTCCAGTACATTTCCTCTTTTTATGTTTTTAATACCCTAGAGATATTTTTAGAAGCTAAAATATGTGATTAAAGACATTTCTGTTGTCAGTTTTATACCTTTAAGATGTCTAGTCTTATCTTATTTGAGGTTTGTTTAAAGCTACCTAGCTGAAATGGAAGCCACCCACACGATTTTTCCATGAAAATTAGACATTTGCAATATAATACTTGTACTGTAGTTCCATTCCTCCTTCATACACACTACATCTAGTTTCAGTGGTCTGAACAAGCGAAGGCATGCACATAATTAATTCCATGAGGGACAGCTTATTCATGTATTTGCACACACAACTCTTGCTCTTTGTGTATCAGTTGCACATAACTTACAATGACTATTCTGGCTAACTTGAGTACTCTGTGTAAATTAAGTTTTAAATAAAGCTCCAAGTTTTCAGATGTATTTTTGTTGTAGCTTGATCAAACACTTTGTTTTCCTACATGTACGTAAGTGTGCATGTACACACACACACACACACACTGGAAATGGCTTTTCCTATTTTTTGGCTTGTGCTATGCAGTGAAATGGTTATAAAAATAACAACATGGCAACAGTTGCTTGCACATGTGGATGTCATAAACATTTTGTGTTACTTTACAACCAAATTCGATCAAATGTGAAGTCCCAGCCGTGGGCCTGTTCCAAGAGCAGGCATGGAATAAGTTTTCTCAGGCACCAAGGTGATTTGCAAGTTGCAAATGAGTAATACATACGGTGTAGATTAGTTGTAAATTAAAGTCACAAATGTTTTCTTTATAAGAGACATATACACATACACGCACATAGGATTTGTGCTTTAAAAAGAAAGGAAGAAAAAATCCAAAACCTCAAATCCACACAGGAACGTAGGGTTGGAGTTTTTTTATTTATTAAAAAAAAAAAAAAAAACAACATCTTTTTCAAGATTGTGAGCAAATACAAACCAAGAGATTTCCCAGAGGTCAAGCGGGTCTCTCCCCATCTCCCTCAGCCGTCGCCGCCCCGGGGTCTCCGCAGGGACACCCGGGCCCCCCCGAGCCCCGGCTGCCCTCGCTCGCCGTCGGCCTCCTTCCCACGACACGACACGACACGACACGACACGACACGACACGACGCCCTGTCTTGATTAACGCCCTGGTGGGGGCTGCCCAGCGGCTGCCCAGGCTCCCATGTCGGTGTCGCAAGTGGTGCCAGCGTTCCTAAGGGTTCAAAAAAAATAATTCTGGAGAATATAGTTTGATTTTCCTTCTTACTAATTTCAACCTACTATTTTATACGTAATGCTATTCATTACTTCAAATATAAAATTTTGAGGAGTACCTTATTTTTGCCATAGCAGGCTAATATATTTAGGTGTGCTTCAGTAATACTTACAGTTTCCTCTGATGTGCTATTTGGTTATTTCTTTAATGCATTTATCTATCTACAGC